AGGGCTTTATTATACAAATCTCTTTTTTGTGTACACTTGAAAATTCTTTAATAAAAACTTTAAAATAGCATTAGAATTTAAACGCTAATTTTATTTTTTATAAAGGTCAACTACATGTTAAAGAATGGAAATTAAACAAAACAATGGTATTTATGTATTAATACTGACATGTGTGTTATTTACAAATTGTACTTTAAAGAGGCTTCCTTTCTTTATGTACTCAGTGTAAAACTTTTACGAAATAAGGATGCCAAAAGCAAGCCTCTTTTCTAATCTGAGTCACTTCTATGTGAAAAACTGTAGTAGTCCCAACTGTTGCTAGGCCCCTTGCCCAAATATACTGACATCTGCTCTACTGAAGAATCCACCAGAAGTTTTAATCAAACATCATGACTAAAGGCAATGAAATAACATCCATATCAAATCAGTACCCTTTCTTGTTGTAATATTTAATTCCCCATTATCACTCAAGAAAACACAATACAGTGTAGTTTGACTAACTATCTGGTATCTGGCTTTTTTCTCTTCCGGATGCATCTTCTTGACTTTTCTGTGTTTATATGGATAACAGAGTGTGTGAAATATATTAAGATGATGTTAACTCTTAATAATAATTGTTACCTGCCAAAAAATATACATGATCAGGAATTATCATAATTTGTCCATTATTAACTGGGCCAGGATGACATCATTGCATTCTCCTGTTAGGATCTATACCACTCAGCCTAAACCTTGTGAAGCAGGATGCTACAGAATCACTGACTTATGGTTTGCAGGCTGACAGATCACACCGTCACTACTCACCAGGAACTACACAAACATGGCTGTTGAACTATAACAATGCCCTATTTTTAACAATGCATGATTCTTTACTTCTGTTCGCTATATTCTACAGTTCCTTCACGAGGGAGCCTTACAGGACATGTTACTATTCCTATAGCTTTTTGCACCATAAATAGAAAAACTGCATCAAATAGCAAAAAGTCCTTTTTATAAATTTTACTGGTATTAATCATGACAAAGGTATTTAGATTTTACTCACTGTTCTGAGGCTTTGCAATTAGTGTTTTACAAAGACATCTATCTGAAGATCTAAACCTGTGGATGAGGACAAACCTTTCCTCCCGTGTAGGGTTCTCTTCAATAACAATGTGACCAAAATCGTTTCTCAGCCTTTCGGCTAAGATCAAGTGTAGTATCTGTTCTTATCAGTTTAACAATGTGACCAATGGTGTCCATCTGTCCACTTCATTAACTTATGAGCTCCTTGTGAAGACAGACTATATCTTTCTTATTCTCTGGATTCTCGGTACTCTCAAGCACAGAAGTATACATTTAAATAAATGTTTACTGAATAAAACTAAACTCAAAAATGAAAAGGTTTCCCACCATTAGCATAAATATTATGACAGTAAGTTTTTTATAAGGCCATAAACACTACATTTCATAATCTTAAGAGAGACTTTTCATGTAATGATTCAAAGTATAACTAATACCTTAAGCTTGTTTTAATTTATTTTATTGAATGAAGTTTAATATGCCAGCAAAATTGAATTAAAACTTATCTAAAATAAAATAAAGGTATGTCACAGATTTCAATAAGACTATGAAAATAAAAATCTAGAATGATGCTGTATTTCTCAATGAAATGATAGCATTATTCCTAATCAGTATTTGGAGATTTAAAATTACCTGATACTTTAAAATTCCACCAACATAAATGTAACCACTCAAATACACCTTAGTCAAAGACTAATAATCTAAAATAATCCAAATTAGTATTGTATCAGTGATCAGTGAAGAATTACAGTTAAAAATGGTACCAGTAAAGTAGTAAGTAGCCATGTATGTCTTCCTCCTAATATACACCAATCTATACTGTAATTATAAATATTAACCCAATATACACAAGCCTATACTATAAATATAAATGTTAATCCAAATGCCATTTGGAAACTAGATTTGAAAAACAAATTTTTTTGAAACTTGGGTATAATACAGTCTAAACTCATTTGTTTGATCTGTAGCATTTGGGCATAATAAAGTAAAACATTTTAAATTTACCATTTATCCAAGTGTATTTAACAAGGATATTTTAAGGTTTTTATAGACCAAAAGAGAGGAATAATCTTTGAATATTTTCTTGTTCTAACTATATTATACATGATAGCATTTAATACTCATAGTAATCCATAAGGTAAGTATTATCTCCAGTTTACAGATAAGGAGACAGATGCTCCAAGACATTAATTAAGATTGAACTCATAATAATAGGAAAATACAAAACCAGTGTCTGAACATAGTCCATATTTGTAATAAAGCTTTAGAATGCTCCTCTAGTACACCACACTCCCTATACTCTATTCAAAACTATAGGATGTTCACATTTTATGAGTATTCAAAGAATTAAAGCATACTTTAACAGTTACTCAAAAATACATCTAAGCATTGAGAAATATATAAAAAGAATAAGGTAAGTGACAAAGGATTTATATCAACCAGGAAAAGATGATTAACATAATGTGAAAGCAAAGATTACACGCTTCATAAACCATTTAATACTCCTCTCCTGACCTTTTCCTTTCCACATTTAAAATTTTAATCTTCTCAGGGCTACTATTGTCTTCTCAGGATTACAAAGAAAATTCCAGTACCCAGCTTTCATTGCAGGCCATCCTAACCTAAATCTCAGTAAGAAAAGAAGGAAAAAAATGTCCACTCTCTCCCTATAGCCACATATATGCCCAGAATACTCTGTATCTTACAGATGATTCAGTTAATGTAGTGAATTGAGAAGATTCTCAAAGGAATGTATCTTACTCTTCTGTTCAGGATCCTTGTAAGTGGTTTTTGTACAAAGGGATCTTGTAAGATACCAATTAACCTGGCTAAAAGTGTAGCCATGTTATGTGAAATTACATCTTTGACCCTAAACTCAAGAAAATAGCCTAATCCAGATTGGTGACCTTCAGTATTTATTTTTTGCTCTGGTAATATTTAGTTGAAATCTCCTTGAAGGGATTAAAAAAACTGTAAGTATCAATGATACTCTTCTATCATAGAAGTATAATAAAACTATAACTCAGATTCTTTTTTCAAACTAAAAAGTTTGAGTCTTCTCCTTTACATTATCAAAAGTACAATAAATGTGATACATTTTATTATTCAAATGAAAATATCTCTTTGATAAAATAAAAACTGATTTCACAATTATTTTTAAGTTAAAAGCATTGAGACAAATTACCAGTATCAACTGCAAAAGAAAAATTAAATTATCTTCTACTCTTTTAGCTGTAAAGAAATAACTAGAAATCTTTATTGTTTGGCTCTGGATATTTTTCTCCCTGCTTACAGAAGCAAAGAGTTATGGAAGGTATTAATTTGCCCCTCAATGAGTGATATGCCACAGGACAAACTCTAAAAAATAAGAGTATGGGAACATAATTCTTTTCATCGAGATACAAAATCCTAGAAAACACTGAAATTTTATGTTAGTTAATAAAAGCTTTTTATTTAAAAAATCATATATGCAAACAATGAATCATGGAACACTACATCAAAAACTAATGACTACTGTATGGTGACTAATGTAACATAACATAATAAAAAAAATCATCTTTCATTTTTACTAGGTCTCAAAGGATCTCCCTGGAAATTACATGTTAATTACAAAAGGAACCACAGTAACTATATCGAAAGAAAAACATCTTAACCAAATGATTAAAATTAGTATCAGTAATAAAAGGCCAACAAACTCCACGGACCTCTGAATATGATATTCCCAACACTTACAGACACACCACTTCTATTCCAACCACAAATGGATAAACTCATTCTAATCATGAGGAAAAGCAAACCAACTCAAATTGAGGGACATTCTATAAAACTACTACCTTGTATTCTTCAGAAATATCAATTTCATATGAGACAAAGACTGAGAAACTGTTAAAGGTGACTGAAGAAACGAGACTAAAGAAATGAATAACCAAATGCAAAACATGATTCTGAACTGGATCCTGTACCAGAAAAAACAAAGCTGCAATAAGAGACATTATCTGGGCAACTGATGAAATTGGAATAAATTATGGATAAGGTGAAAGTATTATATTGATTTGAATTTCTGAAGTTGATAGATGATCTGTGGTTATATAAGAGAATATCTTTGGTCTCAGGAAAGACAAAACTGAAATATTATGGGGTAAAGAGTGGTGATGTATGCAAGAGGGAGAGAATCATGAGTAAATGTGGAAAAGTGTTGAAATTTGGTAAATCTAAGAAACAGCCTATCAGAAATCTTTGTACTATCTTGCAACTTCTCTGAAATCTTGAAATTATTTCAAAATAAAAACTTTAAAAATCATCCTTTAAGATTAAATAAATATTAATGTGAGAAGATTTTCACCATAAACAATTAATTGATAAAATCAAGTCTGATGAAATGGTATGATTAGTACAGGTGCTTTGAATAGTCACAAATTAAGGAGGTTATACCAGAGTGTAGATTAATACACACCTTTCTTCAGCAAAACAAAAACAAAACAAAAAACAAAAAAACTACTGCTATGGAAAAAAGCTATACTAAAGTGTGCTTAGTGATACACATGTGGGGACAAACACTGCAACATCATTGTACTGTGAGTGGTACTGGTTTTACATCCCATCTTTTGAATCAATCAATTAGTCAATCAATGACTAAATAAATACTTCTAAAATTATGTATATGCATTTGAGAGAATACACATCAAGTCATAGCAGTTAACTCTGGGTAGCACACACTTGAAGACAGTTTTTATTTTCTTCCTGTATTTTGTAATATTTCTGCCATAAGTATGGATTACTTTTATAATGATAAAAGGAAGAGTAAACTTTTTAAAAAGAGTAAGTGAAAAGAAACTTAATAGCAGGCAGTCAGATTTCTCAGAATTTGAATCCTATGTCAAAACATGACATTTTCTTATGTTTATATACGGCCAATATTTTCCCGAAAGGATCTCACTTACAGCTGATCTTGAAGCTCCACAATTATATATTCTAATTGTTCCTTTTCCAATTTATGGGCCAGATCAGAATCTTCAATCCTCTGAAGTAGTATTTTATTCTGGGAGACAGATTCAGACAGCTGGTTCTCTCGAAGTCGTAAGAGTTCTTCAAGATAACCCTGAAAATACAGTACCAACAAGATAAAGCTACTGCAGAATTCTAATGTATCTCTTGAAGATCAATACTGAGTAGGTTAAATGCTATTCTTTCCATATTGTAATGAAACAATCTCAAAGTATTACTGATGAAATAGTAAAAAAATAATCATTTTAATTGAATACAAAAATTTAACGTATGTCTTCCATCCCTTAAAGCCCTTCCTGAAGTTCAATAAGAGGTTTGCTTGCAGTGGGTAAACTGGAAGTTTGTACATTTTGACCCCCTTCACCTATTTTACCCATCTCCACCATGTTCACATTCCTGGTGAACTGGTTCTTTTTTTTTTCAAGAGCAATGTATTTCTTTAGTCTTAATAGTGCTTTTGCTGTAAGGTCTATGTTGAATGGTATTAACATAAATTTTTTTTCATATTTGTCCACTTTACCTTTACCCTCTTAATAAATGCTAAAATCTTAAACATATAAATGAAACCACATACAGAAGAATAAATGACTTATTTTTTAATTTAATTTTTAACTTCTTTTAGAGGGCGGCGGGGGGGGGCAGAGAGACAAGGAGAGAGAGAATCTTAAGCAGGCTCCATGCTGAGGAGCTCAAGGGCTCAGTTCCACAACCCTGAGATCATGACCTGAGCTGAAATCAAGAGTCGGATGCTTAATTGACTGAACCAACCAGGTGCCCCTAAATGGCTAATTTTTATGTTAAAAACACAAAATTAGAAGAAGTTGAAAAAACAAAAACCTCTTTTAAAACTCTGCATGATTTTTCATTAAGAGAACATAACATAATAAATAAATAAGTAAGTAAGTAAGTAAGTAAATAAATAAATAAAGAGAAGGACAATTCAAGAACAGAAAGGAAGTAGCAATGGGTCAACACTTACATTCAGCTAAAAGATCTTTTGGCAGTGACAGTCCAAAGGCAATAATGAGAATCAGATTAAATGACTTTTGGCAAATGATAAATACCTTCTGTTCCAGGGTTAGCTGATACTTTTGTTTAACTCTCTTACACTTGTTGAACCAACTATTCTCATCCATGATGAAAGGAGGCCCGACATTCTCTGGAGTGCTGCTTTCACTACCACTGCTTCCCAAAGTTCTCAGCTCTTCCTCGTCACTGCTGATGCTGTCAGAACTGGGAAGATTAAAATTTTAAAAATAAAGTTATTATGTTTCACTCAATTAAGAAATACTTCTCTGTTTTGTAAGCTACTGGTGAGCCAACTGCAAAATTTTTAGCACTCCATATACAATTATAATATGATATTACAAAGACTTTAGCTTCCTGAAAAAAATGACCATCTAGTATAGACTGCCAACTCCCTCTCAGAGAGTCAAGCCTCAAGATGCTGCAGAAGTTCAATTGAGGTTTATAAACCTAAAGAATTAACATAAGAACTGTGAGAATGGGGCGCCTGGGTGGCTCAGATGGTTGAGCATCTGCCTTTGGCTCAGGTCATGATCTCGGGGTCATGGAATTGAGCCCCACATTGGGCTCCTGGCTCAGCGGGGAGCCTGCTTCTCCCTCTGCCTCTCCCCCTGCTCATGCTTTCTCTCTCTGTATCTCTGTGTCTCAAATGAATAAAATCTTAAAAAATAAAAGAAGTGAGAATGTTCTGAGAAGAGAGAAAGGATTTCCAGAGAAGAGAACCAGAAAACCTAGATGTGTTGGAAATAACTTTCCAGATGAGTTTTTTACTGTCTCAGGGAGATGACTGCCTGTCCAGTATCCACTGCTGTGCAGACAAGCAGCATGACCAGCCTAACGTCAGTGGGGTATAATAGGGCAATGTTCCAGATCAGCTCAGCTTTAGCAAAGAGGAGATAATAAGAGGTTCAGAAAAACTAGTTACTCCTAAGCATTTTACGTTGGGGGAGGAAGGAAAAGCAGAGGTAGAGGAGAGGAAACACTGTTTACAATCCATATCTGAAATTCCTAATGATATCCATATGGTAGAAAAGGACAGAATAAGGTTGAAAAAAGAAGAAGAAGAAGAAGAAGAAGAAGAAGGAGGAGGAGGAAGGAGGAGGAGGAAGGAGGAGGACGAAGGAGGAGGACGAAGGAGGAGGAGAAAGGAGGAGGAAGGAAGAGGAGGAAGGAGGAGGAGGGAGGAGGAGGAGGAGGAAGAAGAAGAAGAAGAAGGAAGAAGAAGAGAAGAAGAAGAGGAAGAAGAAAAGAAGAAGAAGAAGAAAGAAGAAGAAGAAGAAGAAGAAGAAGAAGAAGAAGAAGAAGAAGAAGAAAGAAGAAAGAAGAAGAAAGAAGAAAGAAGAAAGAAGAAAGAAGAAAGAAGAAAGAAGAAAGAAGAAAGAAGAAGAAGAAGAAGAAGAAGAAGAAGAAACTAAATGAAGAAATGCACTAAAACAGGTATCTGGTTTAGAAGAAAGAGGAGGTGTTACACTTAAAGAAGAACAGGGAAAAACACACTTTAAAATATAAGCAATGGTATTAACATAAGAAAAATAGCATAAAAATATTCTGTATAATCTTCAAAGTATTAAAACAACCTCTGACCTATCAAATGGAGAAGCAGAATAATACAGTAAATTCAAAACAAAAAATAAGATGGCAGAATAATCCCTAATACAAAATAAGTTACAAAAATCTTAAATGGGTTAAACTCAACAGCCAGAGCCAAATGTTTAAGTTTAATTAAGACAAATAAGGACTGGAGTGTTGTGGGTGGCTCAGTCGGTTAAGCGTCCAACTCATGATTTTGGCTCAGGTCATGATCTCCTGTGTCAGGGGATGAAGCCCTGCATCAGGCTCTGTGATCAGTGCTTGAGATTCTATAGCTCCCTCTCCCTATGCCCCTCTCCCTCACATGCTCTCTCTCGCTCTAAAATAAATAAATAAACCTTAAAAAAAGACAAATAAGGACCAACAATAAGTTGTCTACAAGATACGTATGAATACAGAACAATTAAAACTAAAGAAATGGAAAGCACATCAAGAAAACATGACTCAAAAGAAATCCAGGTCAGAAATAATAATTTCATAGGTTTACAGAGATATAATGGAAAATATCATAAGGATCAAAGAAAGATACATATTTCATTTTCTGTGATCTGTGTTTACACCTTTGGGCTCCAGAGTCTAGGGACCAAGTATATTGCAAATATGAATCAGAGACCTCTGCATAAGGAAAAGTCCTACCTCCAAGGAGACACTCTCAGTCAGTGATCTAAGTCACAAAGCAGTAAACAAACACATACCAAAGGAAATTTGCCTGTCACAGCCATGGCTTTTAGTGGACTAGAGAAAATAAAGCAGTGGCTGATGATAAACGTCCAGCTCTGAAAAACAAACAGAACTTTTAAAAAAATTATATTGACATTAAAAATTAAATGGATGAGCTAACAGGCAGATACAACTGAAGAGGGAATTAACAAAAAATATGAAGAAATTACAATTACTTACTAAAGATTTTCAAAATGCTAAGAAAAAAATAACTGCTATGCTCAATAGCAAATCCAGCAAAATTATCCTCCCAGAAAGAGGGCAGTATAAGCTTACATACTCAGAAAACTAAAACCAGAGAGCTGTACCAAGAAATTCTCCTAAAAGAACTAATGATCATACTCCAAGAAAAAGGAAATGATCCAAGAAGAAACAGTGAGCAAAAGAAAACCTAAACAAATACTGAGAGCATGAAACACTAACAATGATGCCTGCTTTGTGGAATTTTAAATACATCAACGAGAGACCTAAAATTCTAGACAGTAATAGCATATGTCAAGAATGAAATGACTGGAGTTAAAACAATGCAAAGTCCTCATTTATACGGATAGGTAGTAAAGATACTAACTTTATACTTTGTTAACTTTTAAGTATGCATATTAAAATTAATGGAGTACCAATACAAGAAGAGAAGTATAGTATGTAACTCGTAAACTAGTAGAGAAATAAAATGGGAGAAGAAAAATCATTACAGAAAGAAAAGAGAGAGAGAAGGAGAAAGAGAGAAAGGATAGAAAAAGAAATACAAAAAATGTGGAAGAGAAAGCAAAGAGCAGAGGGGCACCTAGTAGCTCAGTCAGTTAAGCGTCCAGCTCTTAATTTAGGCTCAGGTCGCGATCCCGGGGTCCTGGGATCAAGCCCCATGTCGGGCTCCGTGCTCAGCAGGGAGTCTGCTTGAGATTCTCTCCCTCCCTCTTCTTCTGTCCTCACCCCCTCACTCTCTAACATAAATAAATCAATCTTAAGATAAAAAAAAGGCAAAGAATACAATGGTAGCTATCAATCCAAATGTACCAGCAAATGTCCAAATCACCTCAGTTTAATGAGAACTGGGTGTTATGAGCAAATGATGAATCATTAAATTTTACCCTTGAAACTAATAATACACTATTAACTAAATTGAATTTAAATTAAAAAAGAAGACAAAGCCTTTTAGACTAGATTTTTTAAATTCCAGTTAAGTATATCTTGATGAGCACTGAGTAATACATGGAGTTGTTGAATCACTATATTGTACACTTGAAACTAACATAATGCTGTATGTTAACTACACTGGAAATAAAAAATTCCAGTTAAGTACTACTTTAAAAAGATATACTTTAAAAAAACAGGACACGAAAAGGAAAAGTACTGTATTTCATAAATGCCTGCTGTACATTTTTTATATATTAACATATCTGAAGTCAGGATACAGCTTACAATTGATGATATCTTACCTGCTCTCAAACCATTTTCTCACATATTAATGTCTCTGAACTGAGATGCATTTACAATGGAAGGCATGTCAGGTTATATGAAATATGGTTTAAAAAAAGTTAAAAAATATACTAAAAAATACTAACCTAAAGAAAATTGGTGGGGCTCTATTTATATCAGACAAAATGGGCTTTAAGGAATAAAAAATTACTATGTATTTACAGCTACCATATACAGACAAAAAAATTCATTATTTCAGGAAAATCTAAGATTTCAAAACTTAGATGCATCTTTTAAGTTAGATTCAAAAACCAGAAAGCATAAATTGAAAGTACTACCTGAAAAAAACTGAAGAAATCAGATACCACAATGAAAGAATTTAATTCATCAATTCAAAGAGAAAAATAAGAAAATAAGAAAGGTTATAGAATATTAGAACAACCATTATCAAGCATAATCTAATGAATATAGGACACAACCATTGGAATGTTGATCAATTCTAGGCCATTTTTCAACAAATTTCAAGAAACTATTATTATGTGGACCATATCGCCAATCACAACTATAACAAAAGCCCTCAAAATGTTTGAAAATTAAAATTTACATTTCAAATATTCTTTGGTCAAAAAAATTATAATGGATATTTTACTTAAAACAACTAAAATAAAAACAACTTATCAAACTTATACAGCTAAAGTAGTACTTCAAGGGATATCTGTAGCCTTACATCCTTATAAGAGGTAAATTTAAGTACTGAGAAAGAAAAAAAATCATAAAAATTCTCCATAAACTGGGTATAGAGGGAATGTATCTCAATTAAGGCCATATCTGACCAGCCCACAGCTACTTTCATACTCAATGGTAAAAAAGCTGAAAGCCTTTCCTCTAAGGTCAGGAAGAAGACAAAGATACCTACTGTCCCCACTATTATTCAACATAGTATTGGAAATCCTAACCAATCCTGACTTGGAAAGGAAGAAGTCAAACTGTTTGCAGATGACATGATATTGTATATAGAAAATCTTAAAGACACCAGCAATAAACTGACAGAATGAAGGAGTTCAGTCAAGACACAGAGTACAAAATCAATATACAAAATAAGCTGTGTTTCAACACAATAATGACAAACCATCAGAAAGAAAAATTAAGAAAGCAATCCCATTTATAATTACATCAAAAAGAATAAGATACCTCGGAATAGATGTAAAAGGGGAGGTAAAAGACCTATACACTGGAAACTGTAAGACAGTGATGAAAGAAACTGAGAAAGGCACACATAAACTTCAAGACATTCTCTGCTCATGAACTGAGAAAATTAATATTGTTAAAATGACCATACTACCCAAGGCAACCTAAGGTTTAATGCAACACCTATCAAAATTCAATGGCATTTTTCATAGACCTAGGACGACCATAAAATCTGTACGGAACCACACACACTGAACAGCCAAAGCAATCTTGAGAGAGAACAGAGCTGGAGG